CCAGAGGCGCAAGAGGCGCAAGGCGCAAGTGCTGCCGCGACGCTGCCTCGTGGGAAAGGGAGGACGCCAGAGAACGAGGGGGGGGAGGAACTCACTGATACACGCCCACCAGCAGCGGCAGCAGCGCGAGCGGATCGCCGTCGCCCTGCGGCGTGAAGAGGTTGCCCACATTACTTCCCCCGCCCCCTTATCAGCCCCTCTCTTCACAACATCTCCACTAGCGCAGCGGAGCGGAGAGGGGAGGGAAGACTCACTTGACGTCAACCGCGCACCTCACGCCCCTCCTCGCCAATTCCAACGCATTCAGCGTCCCTCTCGGGCGCTTCGCATACGGCACCTCCCTTCCCTGCATATAAAGATCACTGTTCGGCAGCGCGACGAACACCACTTCCTCCCCCCTGCATTCACGCGCTAGGCGATCGAGCTGTTGCGAATCAAATTGAGAGAGGACGGTGGCGTGGCCCATCGTCAGTCGTCTCTTTCTCCCATCGACGTCCCAGGAATGCGACTTGAGAAGCGCCAACGCGTCCCAGAGGAGAGGGGAGGAGGCATCGAGTGAATAGTCAATGTGCAGATCGACGTCCTTCCCGAACTCTTCCGCTAGGGAGAAGATGTAACGCAGTGCGCGGAGAGCGTTGGAGCGCGAGGACTCGACGTATGGCGTGCAGCCTACCGCGTGGACGTCCGGGTGGGAGGCGGCGCGGCGCATGAGGGAATGCATCTGGCTTTCGTATGCGGAGTCGGCGTAGAAAAGCGGATCTTGTGCGAAGGCGCAGATGTTAACGGCACAGCGCGAAGCGAAGCGCTGCTTGAGCGCGAGACCTGCGGAGAGGCACACGTGCAAGACGGTCGGATCGACCTAAGCCGCAGCCGTGCGAGCGTATCAGCGATGAGCGAAGAGACGCAAGAGACGCAAGAGCGAGGCGCGAGGCGCAAGCGAGGGAAGCGAGCGAAGAGCGAGGGAAGCGAGGCGCAAGCGAGCGCATCTCGCTCAGCGAGCGTCGGCGAGGGGGAGGGGGGGAAGAGGACGCACCTCGACATGCGCGCGCATCCCAACAACGCCATGCGAGAGCGCCGCGCGGATGAAGCGCTCGCCGCGCGCTTTGACCTGTTGGCGGCGG